TAGACCCGAAACCCTGTTCCAGGAAGCACTAGATTTCCGTACAAGCTAATCAAGGCCCGGTCGCGACTGACAGTCCGGTAACACTTCTTTAGCAAAAGGGTAGTCAACATTTGGATCAGACTACCTCTAGAGCTAGTAGAACTGCTGACTATGCTGGCATTCAAGACGGCCATGGATGAACGGTGGTCTGAACTTGTTCCTGAAGTGGAGATCTGACCATCCATCCAGGGGTTAAGAAAACCAGTAGTAGGAGCGGTACACTCAAGTTGGATGTTCTTTGTTTCGTCCTGCTACTTATTACGATGTAGCCTGGGAGATGAACGCTCACGAATAACAATCTCTCGCCTTGGAGGTGAGATGAGATATCCTTTTCCCCTTTTCATCCAGGAAATTACAGCCTACTTTTCGCAGTGATTGGTGCCATACTTGACCGCGTACCATACCTTACGCTTTTAATCAAAGTTAAAAGCCCTACTCTCGAGCTTTCCTTCTGTCCATTCAGGCAAACTTCTCTCCGTGTCAGGCCTAACGCTTTTCCTTGTCTTGTACGTGTGATCGTTTCATATCATCTGATTAACTATATTAAAGTTTTAACTTACATTTTTTGAACTAATTTAAGTACAATTAGTAGTAATTACATTTAATTTCATTGCGTTTCATTTCCATGCCTTAAAGTGTCATGTCGGAAACGCGTTGTATCGGGTATAGAATGTAGCATTTGCGAGCAGTTGGCGCATAAAACTTGCTCACAACCCTCGAAAGCACTCTATAAGCTCTATAGTACTCACGATAATCTTCTGTGAATCTGCGAAAGCTGCAAAGAGATCGCTAAAACTGTACTTAAAGACAGCCAGAACCCCTCGTCCAACGGTAGTAGTGTGAGATCGTTTCGCGCAAACCCCACTACTGCCAAAAGGACACATTATTGCTCTCGAAGGAAACACTAGATCACTCGACGCCAAAGACTCATATCATGGGTCCCCAAAGAGCTCACGGTCGCAAGCAACTGAAACCAGTGTTACCACCAAGTACATGGAGGAAAATATCCAGCCCTCGGGGCTCATACATAGTTGTCCATAACAACCGTAGCGTTGTGGATAAACAATACAAACATCATGGAAAACAAACCACGCAAGAGCTAACTCAGCGGTAGGAGCAGAAAACGATGATACACTGCGACAAAACATGTCTCTCAGAAAATGTCGCAGACAGAACAGATTCCATTGGGTGAAGCAATCCTTCACCCGACCCCACTACATGACAGTGGCCGGGTGACGATAGTGTGTAAACAATATCTAACAAAGCTGGGATAGGTAACCCCTAATGACAACAAGAACCAGCTGAATTCGCATTTCATAAACAAGGCTACCATAGGCACAACTACAGGGCAAAAAGGTCAGCAGTAAAATGCTGTACAATGCACCCAAAAGCCAAGACAAGAGAAGCTCAATAGCTCGTCAGTGAACCCGTTCACAGCAATCTCTTCAAGGCAAAAGGCTCAGAAGTATCCAACCTGCCGGAAAAGCCTGAGCTTACCAGACCCTGAGGAACAGGCTCCCATAATAATGGCATCTCGCGGCACGAAAGCCAATTGGAAAAGCTCCTGGTCAAGTTACGGAAGCAAGTAACCGAACTAAAGATACTTCACTCTGTCTACGAAGACACATTGTGCCGGACAAGGAACATTCTGATAAGAGCCCCAGAGCCCTACATTCGTGCAACCGCCCAAAGGCTCAAAGCGGGGAAAAATCTAATTCGCAGTGTTTCGAGGAATGCGGGCTGCCACCCTCGCTTGCGGTGGAGGTGAGCACAGAGTGAGTAAATGGACGCCCCAGGAACAACTGCTCCATGGCAGTGTGTCCCCTGCTCGTGGAATTCCACCGCTGCAAGGATCGGGATTTTGTCCTCTCTAAATGAGAAGTGGTTGCGGCAGCAATGGAAAATATTTTCATTGGTCCTGACTCCTCCTTATCAAAGACGCCAGCAACA